AATACGTTACACATTGCACTTCCTGCACAAAGGTAGTAACAATTTTTTGAGTTTATTTTCGTGTAGATCTCTAGTTTGTTTAATTCTCTAACTTTTCAGAAATCCGCACATTGCTTCTCCCGCATTAGAGCGAGTGGCACAAATTGAGACTTACCTCGAACAAATTGCACAGTTCCATAATATCACAGAGGTGACTCTAAACTCTGACGTGTTGTTCAAAATATATACATTCATTCGAAATTCCATTCAATGCCAGACAAAGAAGACGTTTGTTTAGTCACCAACCTTTCATTTTAAGTGCCGAATGTTTGTCATCATGACTATTGACTCAGGTATTAGGGACAGGTTCAGAATACATTTTTTAAAATGTCTGTTCATGTGCTGACTTTTAGCAGTGCTAAAGCACTTAATTAGTTCTTAAAGAGGGATTTTACGCCAAAGTGAGTATTCACAATAAGATGTAAACATTTAAATGAGGCTAAGGATTAATTTAAAGCCTTTTCCATCTAACAATTTTCTACGCGGTTAGAGATTTGCACGGGCACGAAAATGCTCCCCCTCTCCGTCCCTACCCATTCCCCTATTCCCTCAGCCTGTTTCCTGCTCAAACATTTGCACTTAGCAGGCTTTAGCCTTTAATACTCTTCAAGTGGGTACAGCTAATTCAAAATTTTGTCCGATTTTGGTTAGAGTAAGTATGGCATGTCATTAGAAGTTTTAAAAACAAAGCATTATTTTTTCTCTACTGTCTTTTCAAACTATGCAAGATATAAAATTGTTGATATCTTTAAATATGCATGGAGAAAATGACAGATGACATTATTTTACACGAAGACGCATGCGGCAATGATTGTCAAGTAAGAACAGATCTCTCGAGATTCAAAATGTCTGTTAACGCAAATGCTTTGAGCGCGTGAAAAGGCAAAATCTTGAAATGAGAATTACCGACATAAATTCTTACTTAATTATTTATTTCTTACTCAGGTACGTTCCGAATGAAGTTAGTATTGACGAAGGAAGTAGCAATAGACTGCTGATAAGTATCGGGCATTTTAAAATGAGAAGGCAGCTGCCTACTTGTGTCGCTACTCCTTCCCAGTATCACTATCATTTAAAAAGGGGTAACCACACAACCGGGCAATTATTTCTCAAATGAGCTTAATTAGCATTTTTTGTAAATTGTAGGTGCAGCGTAGAAGATTGTCCTTTAACAATTACAATTCACCATTTTCTTGGCTTTTAGGCAATGGCAATGTCTTTTTTCATGGACATACTATAGGGATACAAGAGGTGGCAGCTGCAAATGTCCTATCCTTAACATCATAGCAAATGTTTTGTGAAAAGGAATGGAGTTTTTGATAAGGCATGACATCCAAATGTTTGTTCTGCATGTTTATCATTTTCTACCAATAATTCAATAACTATCAATTTCTTAAATTAGATTTTTATCAGTTTGAGACGGTCATCTTCTTTCAATCCCTTTTTTAACTTCATTCTACTGCTTGTTTCCTGTACTCCTCTCCCTTTATAGATCGTGACATGGTAGGGTCTGACTCTGGTCACTAGCCATCTGTGGTATTCATTATGCTCGTTTGAATTTATAGGCTTGAGTCCTTTACCAAAAAAATTGAAAAGAGTGGATCTCATTCATGTAAACTATTACCAAGAATAGTTCTGAACATATATAGCATATTCTTTTTAGGCCCCAGGTGGCATGGCTGATAGGATAGATGAGTTCCTTGAAGGAACTCATACCTACGATCAAAATAATACAGTTGTTATGAATGAAGAACTGCGAAGCATTGCAATTGCACTTGATCGGGAAGTGCTCAGTCGCTCACGACTCAGTGAGTTCTTAAGCTTGCTGATCTTATTTTACACTTCGATCTTACCCTGTTTTTGCCAGTGATGGATCACGCCATTTCAGTTGATACACTGGGCAGCGAGGAAGTAGGTGATGATGAGACTGATGAGCATGAAGCTCGGTTTCAGCGTGTTGAAGAATCAGAAAATAGTCCTGCTTATGTGATGAGGTTAGCCTTTTGAAATTACTCTGTCAGCGTTGCTGGTGGTTTTTTTTTCTATATGGAAAAGATGAAAGCTGTAGTCTTCTCAGTAAAATGAGCTGCAACAGCCGCTGTCCTTGTATAGGAAGGTTTTTGTGCAGCTCAATCAAATTAAGGTTGGAGTGAAGTGTTTCTCGTCATTATTTGCTTTGTGGAACGTTTTCCCAATATCTTTTCTTGAGAAGAGTATATTGGATTGTTCACGTACCTACCTTGCTCAACAAAACGTACGAGATGTATTTGATTGCAAAAGATTGACAGATCAAGTGCTAGCAAATGAAACCATAATCCGTAAGCTGTATGTACGTCATTTCAGCTTGCTAGCACTTGATCTGTTACTTTTTAAATTAAAGCATAGTCAGTATCTTTGCATCTTGCCTGGAATGACTTGTAATAATTTGAGCAGACTGAGGATCTATTTTTTTCGACAGTCCTTATGATTACTTTATTTCAAATAACATCACACTTCAGACATGCCATTGCTCCGGATTTGATAGATATCCTGCGGCGGCTACAAGCAGAATATGAGGCTCTACGACCTCATCTTCTTCGTTTTGACAGAATATTGAGCTCACGAATACTGTACAATATAGATGACGCTGAGGTGAGTTACCCCCAATTTTGTTGAATACTAATCTAACATGAGCTACATTTGCAGCAGACTGATACGGATTATCGCGCAAACTTTTTTACCGTGTATATGGAGCATTTACAAAGAGTC